GATTGAGGCACCAAGTACTAGTCTAACTATTCCCTTTAATTTGGAACAGAAAAGTTGTTTTTGTGTTGTGAAATAGTTTGGAAAATCCAAAACAGAATTTAAAATAATTAAATTTAAAAACAGAATTTAAATAACAGTGAAGTTGAACGCAGGCAAGAACAGATCAATAACGCGAGAAAAGATTGATGAAAAATTTGTAAGAAAACTGTAGCTAGGATACACTTCACCTCCGATCCTCATTTATATTCCTATATTGAATTTATAAATAATTAACTCGTTTGTTCAGATAATTCATTATTTTCCTATAAATTAGTTGAACCCTAATGTCTTAGTGATTTCAACCCTTTAACCCAATTAGAATCCTAATGTCTTAGTGATCCTTCTTGAATTAAGCATTAAGCAAATGAATTATGAGTGTGCAATTCATGTAAGCGTATGTCTAGATCATACACAAATTGTTATTCTACCTTGTCCAGATTAAAACCCCAATATGTCTATTGTGAATTCTAACCCTCAAAGCACTATAATTTAGAGTGGCCAATTCTAAACAGGATATGGAAAAATTCACACATGTAAAATAAAACAAACAAACTAATCAATTTATAAAAATAATATAGAAAATAAAATAAGATTCACATCGGGTCTGTGATCCCAACTACATAAAGAAACTAGCCAGACATAGCTGGCTTAAACAAATTAAAGGAAAAATTGTTCATGAACTATAAAGAAAAGAAAAAGAAGAATAAAAACTTAATGTCTTCAGCCTTCAACTCCGGTGGAATCCTTATCTCCAACGTGAGCCTCCAAGAATTCTCTATAACCAAAGATTGTTTTCTCTTGAGGTCTAAGTCTCTATTTATAGAGTTTATGCCTTGCTTAGAAATCTTGATCAAATCTTCATCTTGTTTTTCTTGGTCCAATCTTCTCTAATACAATCTGAGGGAAGTTAAAGATTTTCCCTCTGATTCAAATCTTGATCGAATCTTCAATAGAATCTTCAATAGAATCTTCAATAGAATCTCTAATCTTATCTTTGAATCAATCCTTCAAATCTTCTAGTCATATCTTTGACCAAATTTTTCTCTTTTTAATTTAATGAAAAACTTTCCTTAAAAATATTCAAACGAAGATTTGATAAGATCTTCAATGATTCAGAAATACAAAGCAACTCTATTTGATATCTCCAATTATCTCTTTATTGAGCTAAAATTACTGCAAAATATCAGAAATCTTATGAGAATATTATTGAGAATAAAATAACAGTTTAATTATAATTCTCATAACTTTTAATTCAATTTCATGCTCATATTGACCCTTAATACATAATAAATTGGAGACTCATCAATTACCCAAACACAGGGTGAGATAAAAATAGGGGTGTTCATCAACTGATCCAAACCAATTCAAACCGCGGTGACCGAACTGAAAAATCGATAATCGAAAACCAAAAAACCAAAAACAGAAAAAAAAAATCACATATTTCAATTGGATCGGATCAATGTAGAAAAACAATTGGTGAAAATTGATCCAATCCGAACCGATCTAATTTATTATGTATTTATTATTTTTGAAAGATTGTGACTTAGAGTCTTGTTGTTTTGTAGATTTGAAATCTTAGATGGTATTAATTGCAAATTATCTTATTTTAGTTTTTATTGTCTATTAATCTATTTTAACTCTTCATGAGTTTTAAGATTTATTTTAGTTTGAATACTTGAATTTTTCAATGATTTGTAACTTTGAATGACTTTATTTTAACATAGTTAGTGATTTATATGGCTAAAATTTTGAATTTTTTAAAAAACCAAAAATCGATACAATTTTGTTGTCGTGCAGCATAAGAGTTATATTACCCTACTACAAATACCCAAATCCATTTCCTAACCCAGATTTTCGTCCCACTAATCTAACGAAACAAAATGTTTCTTATCATCTGTAAGCCTAATCTTTTTGTGTTTAGGATATTTTTACCTCTGTACCGAAAAAAAAGAAAGAATTTACCAAAAAGAAAAAAAAGAAAGATATTTTATCCTCCACTTATTTATTTCTACGATTGCCCAAAGTAACGTGGTGTATTGTATGTCCCTTCATCTAACCTTCCTTGTATTTCTGATTCTCATATTAATTTTTTTTTTATTTCTCATTCTTGAACTCGTTTGGTTGCATTTTATTTTCTTATGAATTTTTTTTCCTGAGTTCACAAGTTTACAATTTCCACTTTAATGTTTATTTTATTGCACCCTTTCTCCTGACTATTATGATTGCACCTTAATTCCCGTAATTTTTTTTATAAAAAAATAATTTGAACTTTTCGGCAAAAAATTCTTTCAAAAATTTCAATATCTATTTCTGACAGATTAGCCGTTAAAAATTAATACTTTACTTGCGGCATCCAATTCTTGCATGCTCTAGATTCCACTTGACCAAAATAATAATTGCTCTCAAGATCAAATAGTTAGTATAAATTCCTTATGCAACAAAGATGTCACAATGTTGAGAATGAATCATCTCATATTAAAAGTTTACATGATTTGGTTATGTGAAATTATTGTGTCTACATCCCTCTTCATTAATGATAAATGGATATCATCTGTTTAATGTATGTAAAAAGAAAAATAGACACAAAAATTTGGGATAGTATATTGTGACACCCAAATTATGTTACACCCATGTGACACCCAGTCAATCTCACCGTTAGATCGCTTATGTTGATCCAACGGTTATATTTATTTCCATCTTTGTATGGTCATGATTTCCCAAATTTAATATTTTATATTGATTTCTACCTTTGTATGGTTATGATTTCCCATATTTAATGCTTTCACTTTAAATTTGGGAAATCATGACCATACAAAGATGGAAATAAATATAACCGTTGGATCAACATAAGCGATCTAATGGTGAGATTGACTGAGTGTCACATGGGTGTAACATAACTTGGGTGTCACAATATCTTATCCCCAAAAATTTTACATAATAAGTCATGTGTGAACTTTTATACCAAAATCTTATGGGTTTTGTAAGAGTTATGTTGTAGGAAAAATGATTGTGTAATGTTATAGAGATTCGTTTTGCGTGCCATAATTTCTTTTTTTTCTTTTTTCTTCAAAAAGTGTGGGTCCCACAAAATGTTGTGTGTGTACGAAAATTTGTTGTGTCATGTTAAATGACAAATGCAAATCTCAAATCTTATATACCAAAAACAACATGTGGAATCTTTTGACTAAGTAATTATATTATTTCCGGCTAAAATAAATAATAATTTTTGTTTTATTTTTGCTATTTTGTTCTCGTCCTTGATCTTAATTACTAGGTTTTTCATGCTTTGTTTTATTGTAAAACTAATTCTTGTTTAGGCTTTGAATTTATTTCTCCACATAAGTGTTTTTTTTTTTTTTTTTAACTTGAAACCCTAACATTTTATAGACTACTAAATAATGAGTTCAAGTTTATTTATTATTCGAGTCGGTGTGTGGTAGAATACCAGCAACTTTCGTTAACAAGTACAAGCATGAAGCTCATATCCATTACATAACCAACAAAAAAACAGCGCATACAGAGATCAAACCGCAATGCATAAAATAAAAGTGACAAGCTAATTAAGAATGAACAAAGAGACTTTCACGAAACGATTACATCAATAGCAACTATGGCCTTCTTTATTTGTGCATATATATATATATATATATATGCTTATTATTGCTTAAAGCCTCAATGCATCACAATAACCTAGCTTAGCACTCAGTTGGCAGTGGGAGGCTTGTGTGGAGGCTTACGGTAAGGCCTGTAGTCTTCTTCCACCAACGGAGGGTGCCCAGGCGCTGATCGTTTGGGACCTTTGGGGTTTGTGTCTGACTTCTCTTGCTCCTCCACCACCGGAGGGTGCCCAGGCGCTGATCGTTTGGGACCTTTGGGGTTTGTGTCTAGGGATGACTCCTCTGTAGGAGGCTTATGTGGTGGTGGCTGTCCATGTGGATGCTTGTGGTGTTCTTTGTGGTGTTGTTCTTTAGCAAATGAGATTGCAGCGAACAGCAATGCAAGTAGCAAGACTAGTGTGCATTTGGGAGACATTTTTGGTTATTGGATTGTTGTTGTGCAAAAACCAGAGCCAAGGTTTGGTCTTTTATAATTACAGGCCGGTCACAACCTATGTCGTCATGACACTCGTCATCCCTTTTGTCCTATTTAATTAGTTTATTATAGAAGCATTTCAAGTTCAGATAGATAGGTTACTCGTAACTAGAAGGTTTACATGGAATAGTAAATATAAGATACTAACTAAAGAGGCTAAAATATATTTCTCGTAAATAATTATTTAACCCCTATATATTTCTTACTTTAAATTAAGGGAGAGATAACTAGCTCACGAATTATTCAATTACAATACTAAAAAAAAAGTAAAAATAAAATATGCAATATTTATTTAATTTCATGGAGTTACGTTAGTTCAGCGGAAGCTGTATTTTAGAACTGTGCAAATAATTAGAAGCTTTGCAAAAATATCGTAATTAGATGCTTTTCAAAAATATCATATATATAATTAATGGCCACATGTCATGACACTCGTCATCTCTTTTGTCCTATTTAATTAGTTTATTATAGAAGCATTTCATGTTGAAAATTTAAACTGATCAGTGAAAGAGTACAGTTTGATTCCGAGTAAGTTAAGTGAGGATGTATAAAGGAAAAGATTTATAAATTTATTAAATATAATGTTAAATTCAACTCATTATTATAATTTAATACTTAACCTATAAATAAAATTATCCCTTCCTATATATGGTGCTAACACACTATACCAAACACAGTATTTTACCACGACAATTTAGTAATGATCGAAAGACGTTGCAATTTAATAATGACTAGTGTACATTAGCCACTTCACCGGAATTAAAAATGAACTCTTTAAAAAAAAAAAAAAAAGGACCATGTCACGCATTAGTATCATTTCTTTCCCCTTCACCACAAAACTCTACTTCTCTTTCCCTCTCTTATTTTTTCTATCTCTGGAGATGCAATTGGTGGTGTGAATTTTCCTACATGTTTCGCTCTCTCTTCTTCAAATGTTGTTCATTCTTATTCTGTTCCTTCACAAGCTAGGTTCTTAATCTGATTTCCATTTGAATTTCACCCCTGAATCTGAGTTTTCCTTCAGATTTGTACGAATTCTGAGTGCAGTGTCTGCTTCGTTTTTGTTCATTTTTAGTTTATGAGCTAGTCTCGTTAACAGTAGCTTAAAACTAATTTATGATTTTTTTTTTTTTTATATTTCAGGAACATTGTTTTCATTGTCAGTTTCTAAGCTAGATTGAGCTTTCGATTCGGGTTCGTTTGGATTTTTTATATATGTGTTTATGTTTTGCTTAAATGCCCATATACTGTTTGATATATGTTCTGAACCAAATTGGACAAGCGTGTTGAACTTGAATGCATTGGCAGTCAAATGCTGCAATTTCCAATCATCAGTATTATTTGATTCGTGGGTTTAATGATTTTTTGTTTTTGTTTTTTATTCTCTCTACTCATACCCTTTTACGGAGATGCAAACGTGTATTAATGGCATTTACAAAATTAGTTTTGGTGTATTAATATTTTACAGCAAAATATTTCCTTTTCCTCCAGACAAGTACAAGGATTTTTCCAAACGATGGAAATTGAATTTGAATTCCCATGCATTTCAAATTACCTGAAAATTTGAAATTCTCCATCCCATCACTGCATTAGGGAAATAGCTAGATATGTCCAAGGATATTCCTCTTCTAACAGGGTTTGCTTCCATTATAGAGAGGGGGAATGTAATCTACATAACCCAACCTGATGATTATTTTGGTAATTTACTCTTAGTATTAGTGTATTTCCATTAGTGGGAAGTGGGAACAAAATAGTTTTGGAAGTTAGAAGATTAAAGGATAGTGCAAACTTTTCATTTAGACATTGTTAATTATTGCCTTCTTATATTTCAATGTTACTCTGAGATAAGACTTGTATTTTTTTCGTCCTTTTCTCTCAAGCACTAATGGTTCTATCATATCATATATGAATGTTCTGATTCACATCTTCACTCTTTACTTCTAATTTTATGGATTGATCTTTTGTTCTAAACCTCTGCTTCGACTTATTATTTTCCCCTTCTTTTCCAATCCCTTGTATCTTCAGTTAGTGCTCATGGAGTCCATATGTGAGTCGACCAAGTCAGTCAGAGAAATATTGTTAAACTCATGTTCTAAACTAGATATAGTTCTCATAGTTAAAGGCTTGTATGAACTTGGAGGGGGAGATTGTTCACCTTAGCCCCCTCCCTCTCTCCACCTCTGCACCTTGGTCTATTCAAATTTTTTATAGTTCTTCTGTGTAAAAATCAAATATATTTTTCTACTTATACATATACTCTATTGCTAACATGAGTTCTTGTTTTGTTATTTATATCATGTATTTTCTTCCTTTCCTGAACGAATTAATTGTTCTTGCTGTATGTTCTGTGTTACTGGACCGCGTGTGCTGTATGTTGACATTGATGTTCACCATGGTGATGGTGTTGAGGAGGCCTTTTACACAACTGATAGAGTGATGATAGTGTCTTTTCATAAGTTTGGCGACTTTTTCCCGGGCACTGGACACATTAAAGACGTTGGGCTGGGCTCAGGAAAGAATTATAGACAGCAGTGGCAGAAGGAAAGAATTATACACATTAAAGACCCGGGCACTACACACAACTGATACATGCTTTTTCTTTGTTTTAGACACCAGTGGCAGTAGGAGTGGAGAATAAGAACCTGCACCGTTAATTAAGGAAGTTAATTAATTAATTATGTGAAATTAGGAAATAATTCTATAATTGACCTTAATAATTATTATGAGGCTTAAATAAATATAGAAAGTGATTAATAATGCTGAAAGTCGCTTTTTGGGACGAAAAGTGCAGATACTAGTTCTGCTACCTAATATAAATGCATACCGTTGAAGTTTCCCAGAAAATTATAATAAGTGCATAAATATTCCTAGAATATTATATAGAACTAGTAAAACAAGTTTCAAGTTAGAATAATGAGAACTGGTACCAGAACTGATACTGGCTATGGAAAAGCGCGTACCGGAAAGGTGCTGCGAAAAATAAAATAAAAATATGATAAATCTTATAAAAATGAGTAGGTTCAGATTCCAAAGTTTGGGATTAAAACGATAAGCGTAGCTATTAATGCTAATACTGTATGATTAATTAAGTGTGGCCTATAAATAGACCCTTGCACATTAACCTAGACTGATCTTCAGCCTCCTCCACGTTGGTTTCTAGTGACAACCCCTTCCTCATCCATTTCCATAGTTTTCTTCTCCCTTGAGCCTCAAAGTGACTTCCTTTCTTCATTTTTCCTTCATACAAACACTATTGTTGGGCTTTAGGAAGACTTGAGTGGGTGTGAGAGCTCTTGTTTCTGTGTTGGTGGTGCTGTCCTTAGTGTTTATAAGGCTGACTTCACTACTTGCGGGGGAGGAGCCATTGTTCCTTGCTTGTGTGGCTTCAAGAAGCCATCTTTGGTGAGAAAGAATCAACCTTTGATCACCATTTTCGTGTGCCTTGAAAGTCAGAACTGTAGAGGCAGTGTGGTGAGCTCCATGAGCCTTTCTTGCTGAGTTTTAAGCTTGGGTAAGTGTTACCACCTTTGATCATGAGTTTTAATGGGTAAAAGTGGAGTCTTGTCATGTTTAATGAGTTAAACAAGTAACCAACTGGTATATGAACTTAAAAGAGGTTAAAAATGCATGCTTGGACGTTGGAATGAATTAAAAACCCAACCTTTGGAAGGATATCTCGCGAAATGCAGAACTAAATTCTGTCGCGAAATATCCGGATATGATATCTGGATATTGATATCCGGATATGGGGTTCTGAATATCCGGATATTGATATCCAGATATTGGCAGAGAGATATCCGGATATTGATATCCGGATATGCGCCCCGACATATATCCGGATATTCTGAGTTTTCGGAGAACAATAGCTGCACTGTTCATACAGAAGCCTATTGGGGGTTTGTGGACCCTAGATTGATGAAGTTGAACTCCTGTAATAATTAAACTAAGTCAGAATCAAGTGATTAAGGGCTTGAGGCTTTGTCAGGAACCTAAAGACGTAAAACGTAAAAGAGAAGCATTGTCTTTATGTTTATGCTTATGAGCTATGTTTATTGATCTGATTGCTGGTCCAAATCAGATTGTGATTCTGCTTTGTTTGGACTTTGAGCTTTGGTTGGACTCTTGGCTTGGATTGTTAGCTTGCAAGGTAAACTTTCGTGTCCTCGGTTAGCCACTGTTGGTTCCACCATTTCCCATGGGAGAATGGTTGTATGCATGATGTGTTTTCATGTACTGTTTTATTGAAATGCTAATGAGCTGTTAAGTGCAATTGCTTATGATATGTATGTGGTGTTACGCCTACAGGAGGCCAAGGGGTGGTCCTGGGGGCAGGTACAGCAATGGCTAGTAATGTGTGGGTTTAGATGGATTCCTGCACTTCTCTGATCAGTAGAATTGTTATAACACACATGACATGATTATCTGCTACATTGTACTATTTTGAGAACTTATACTGTTAAACTGCCTTTTGAACTTATATTGTACATGTAAGTGAGCTTGGGTGGAAGATCCTTGAGGACCCCTTGTCTTACTGAGATTTCTTGTTTAGAGATCTCACTCCACGTTTGGGGACGCTTATTTCAGGTTCAGGTAATTTGGAGGCTAATGCCTCTGGCGGCAGGAGGCCGGAGCTTAGTTGATATATTATGTTGTATGCTAACATGATATGGATTTGGTTGCTATTTATGTTTCTGTCATTTATGATTATTGAGTTGAGACTGCTGTTGGGCATTGTTGCCTTATTTGGTGAGCATGGGGTTTGTCCATGCCACTTTGATTTTTCGTCGTGTTTAAGTTTATCTGTGTTGTATAAACTATCAGGTTGTCTGGTCTACGTGTTGTAGTTCCGTGACTAGAGACATACTTATGTTATTTAATTAATGAGGTATTTCAGTTAGATGTCTTTGCAATATTTATATACAGGCGATGTTTTATGAAAATGATTAAGTAATCAAGTTGGTAATGATAATGACGTCATAATTGAAAAGAAAAAGATATTCCACATTTTTAAGTTAAGTGTGGCTTAATACGATGACATGTTAACAAACCGGGTTAACACGGGGTGTTACAGTACCGTATTTGATACTCGTATTGCATCTCGCGCAGCTAAAATGGTGGTCCTGTAAGCATCAATATGCTTTGCCGAGGAAGATCACATGAGTTCTTGACAAACTGGATTTTATGTGCATTTTTCGGCTTTTTAACCCTTTTGCCCCTCATTAATTAATTATTAACTATTTTGCTCCTTATCCAAAATTATTTACCAATCTGTCCCTCTTTAATCGATTAACTTGAATATTTAATAGATTAAATGGTCAAAATAGGCAAAAATGGTTGACTCGAGATTTAATTGATTAAATCTTCCTTTTTACTCGATTAACTTGAATATTTAATCGATTAAAACTTATAATTAATCGATTAAATATCCCAAATGAACGTGAAAACATTGATTGAATGAGACAAATAAGGAAAGCTCGCTACGTTCAAAGGGGAATATTATGGTTTAGTTTACTATAATGATTAAGTTTTGGCCGCCCCAAGTGTTCGTTTGAAATCTGTCTTACTTTCTGTGAAGAAATACGAAATGGAAGTATTTCACCTCGGCATGAACTGAAGTTTGAATATGTTAATAAGGGCAGTTAGTACATGCATGGTAGTCATCCTCAACCAGTATACTGTGATTTAGGGACTTCAAAGGATACTATTGAGATATATACTGATTGGAATGCTAACAGTGATGGAAGTATTAGATGTGCTCCAAAAGAAATGAGGGGTTGTGGAGATCACTGTGTATTGGAGCTGAAGTCCATACTTCCAAATGGATGGATTTTTAAGTTGAAAGCCAAAACTCGTGACATGCTGAAGAATTTTTGCAAAATTGAGCACAAAACTCTTCAAAAAGAAGCAATATTAAGCAACAAATCTATTATAATAGCTGCTTTTAGAGATGGCACGAATGATAATAACATATATTGTCAGAAGAAGGGCTATTTCTCTTCTAACAACATTGGATTAAAGGTGAACCAATCATAGTTCGGGATGTTCTTAAACTAGGGACAGGTATGAGTTGGGAGCCAAAGGTCACTTGACGAGCATTATGTGAAAATTTGGATTCGCAGGGAACAACTCAAATGCGTTAATGAACCAAGATTGGTTCTCGCTACGCAGTGAAGCAACGAGTTTTCCTTGTTTGTCTCATTCAATCAATACTTTCACGCTCATTTGATGAAAGAAAGGCAAATGATTAAAGATGGATATTTAATCGATTAAATCTCGAGTCAACCATTTTTGCCAGTCTTGATCATTTAATTGATTAAATATTCAAGTTAATCGATTAAAGAAAGGCAAATTGATAAATAATTTTGGGTAAGAGATAAAATAATTATTAATTAATTAATGAAGAAAAAAGGGTCAAAAAGCATCATTTTCCAAGCCGTGGATTGATTGATGTGAGTGCGCAATAATATGGGAGAGTGACCATTTTGCCACGTTTGGACAAAAAAATTACCAGACTGCCACGCCAACAGTAAATTTTTCCAAAATGTCACGCGGCATAATTCGCTACGCAGTGTAGCGAATTATGTATGCAAGTAATTCGCTACACAGTGTAGCGAAATATGCCACGTCAGAACCAAAAATGTCACATGTCAAATTTTGCAAAATTCGCTACATAGGGTAGCGAATTTTGCAAAATTTGACATGTGGCATTTTTGGTTTTGTGCGTTCTGATGTGGCATATTTCGCTACACTATGTAGCGAATTACTTGCATACATAATTCGCTACACTGTGTAGCGAATTATGCCGTGTGGCAGTTTGAGAAATTTTACTGTTCGCGTGGCATTCTGGTAATTTTTTTGCCAAAGCGTGGCATTTTGGTCACTCTCCCCAATAATATTTGCTAGCGACAAAATTTGATAGTATTGACATATAATATTTGCTAGCGACAAAATTTGATAATATATAATACTTGCTAGTATCACATGGTTTATCTATTTTTTATCATATTTATCATTAATAACAATACTATCATATTCAGGATCTTCAGCGTCTTCTCGTCCTCGCCGTCTTCTCGTCCTCGCTTTATAACATTTTTTATAAAATTGGTAGCATCGCGTACTATACCATCGTCAATAGCTTCGTTATAATAATTTTCACAGCTTACTGGTTCTATCAATATTCCTTGCGCAATATTGACAACATCGCGCACTGTACCTTCGGTTATTAGCTTTGTTATAATAATAGTTTTCACAGCTTATGTATTGGTTCTATTAATATTCCTTTCACTTTCTATTAAGTAGTACAAATAATACTACTTTTCTATATAAGTAGTAGTATTGGTGTATGTCTCTGGTCCTATAAGCATTGCGCAATATTTGCCAACATCGCGCACCGTATCCACATCATATATACTAAAAGTATTATTATTGGTGTATGTCTCTGGTCCTATAAGCATTGCGCAATATTTGCCAATATCGCGCACTGTACCCACATATATATATTAGGTTTATCAATATTACTTTTTACACTACTGTAGATAATATATATATTGGTTTTACAAATATGCCTTCTGAAGTAAACCTATTATGGGATGCATTGCGCAATAGTAAACCTATTAAGTAATATATATAATAGGTTTATCAATATTACTTTTTACACTACGATATATACTTTAAAAAAAATATAAACCATATAGACTTCTCGAAATAAATCATTACCTGAATTTAAATTTTGCCAAAATTAATTCAACAAAAAAAAAATTCATTACTATTAAAAATTATTGTGGGCTATACAAGTAATAAAATAAATATACCGATCAATATAGGACAATGGCATCATGAATGTAAATAATGGTTAAAAAAAATCTAAACGTTTAGGAAATTTTATGGCATTATTTTTTGGGTTTTATAAGAGTTATGTTGTAAGAAAAGTGATTGTGTCATTTTACTGAGATTCGTTTTTCGAGCCTTAGTTTTTTTTTTTGTTTTATAAAATGCGGGTCCCACAAAATATTATGTGTGTAGAAAATTTTACGATGTCATGTTGAAGGACAAACAAAAACCGTTATTTTTTTAACCTTACTCTCTTTTTTTTTGTCATTGTTGTTTACTTTATTTTTTAATTATTTTTTTTCTTTCTATTTTATTTAAAATTTCTTGAATAATTTTGTTTTAGGATACTACAAATACCCAAATCCTTTTCCAAACCCAGATTTTCGGCCCACTAATCTAACGAAACAAAATGTTTCTTATCATCTGTAAGCCTAATCTTTTTCTGCTTAGGATATTTTATCCTCTACTTATTTATTTCTACTATTGCCCAAATTAACATCTATATCTAACAGATTAGCCTTTAAAGATTAATACTTTACTTACCGCATCCAGTCCTTGCATGCTCCGATTCAGTGTTTTCTTTCTTTAGTCACCTCGTGGTTCCTGTTCAGGTTATTATGATTCCGGCCACTTGGCCAAAATAATAATTGCTCCCAAGATCAATCAACTAGTATAAATTCCTTATGCAAGAAAGGTGTCACTATCTTTCGAATTGATTCTCTCGTTTTAAAATTTAAAAAAAAAATTCATATTTTAATTAATATAAGTGATAATTTTATAATTACCTAATATGGTTATGATTATTTAATATGGCATGATCATATTAATTAACACGAGAAAGTCTACTCCCTTAAAATATATATATATATATATATATATATATATATATATATATATATAAAAAAAAATATTTCTCAAGCAACTTGAGAAATATTTTATCTCCGACTACTTCAAAACTACGTCGTTTTATTTATTTATTTTCTTATATTAATTGATTTACCTTTGAATGGTTATGATTCTTTTTTTTTCTCTCTTCCTTTATCACCATTGATTAATCTTTGCACGGTTATGATTTAATAGCCGGAGATAAAATTATCTCAAGCAGTTTGAGAAACAATAAACCCGTGTATATATATATATATATATATATATATATATATATATATATATATATATATAATGATAATTGGACCACATCTATTTAATACATATATAGAGAGATAGACCAAAAAAATTTCAGATCATGTAAAATTTTAAGATAAGAGCCACAATCTTATCTACCAAAAACAACATGTCAGGATCTTTTGACTAAGTACTTACAATTCTTTCTGCCAAAAATAAATAATAATTTTTGTTTTATTTTTACTCTTTTGTTCCCGTCCTTGATCTTACTAGGTTTTTCATGCTTTTTATTGTAAAACTAATTCTTGTTTAGGCTTTGAAGTTATTTCCCACATAAGTACTTTTTTTTAAACCCTAACATTTTATAGACTATTAAATAATGAGTTCAAGTTGATTTATTATTCGAGTCGTGTGTGGTAGAATTGGATGAGATTTTTTTAAAAAAATTATGTATTAATTTTTTAAAAAAAAGGTAAAGTTATTTTATATTTGATTTTTTTTACTTTTATTTTTTTAAAATCTAAAAGCTTACTTATAATGAGAAGCATTTTTCTTATTTGAAAGAAAAGCAGCTTCTTAAAGAAAAAAAACTCACATAAACAAGCTCTAAATCTAAATTACTAAATATATATATTTTTTAATAATCCTATATATTCTATCCAATCTCCGAGATAAGCAAACCATTATTTTATTTCCTTTTTCTTATTTTAACAATAATATATCCAAAAAAGTAAATCATGAATAAATTCGCACCTTAAAAATTTATTGATTTTATTTAACAATAGCACCAACCGTTTGAACTTTGAAGCCAAACCTTCTTTCAAATTTTGGTAGATGAATGGGACAAAACTCCCAAACAAAGAACTACACATATATAAGCTCCAATAAAAGTTACCCCAACATTATTATATCTCAATATAGCACATATATATATATATATTAGGTTTGCAAATAGAATACCGGCAACTTTCGTTAACAAGTACAAGCATCAAGCTCATATCCATTAGCATCAAGTAAGCACATAACCAACTAAAAACAGCACACACACACACATCAAACCATGCATAGAATAAAAGTCACAAGCTAATTAAGCATGAACAAAGAGACTTTCACTAAACGATAGATTACATCAATAGCTACTATGGCCTCCTTTATTTGTGCATATAGATATGCTTAATTAAAACCCTAACGCATTACAACAACCTAGCTTAGCACTCAGTTGGCAGTGGGAGGCTTGTGAGGAGGCTTGTGTGGAGGCTTATAGGGAGGCTTGTAACTGTTTGCAGTGGGAGGCCTGTGTGGATTGTGTGGAGGCTTGTGAGGATAATTGTCTTCTTCCACCTTCTCCTCCTCCACCACTGGAGGGTGTCCAGGATGACGTTTGTGATACGCTGATGGTTTGGGTTCTGTGTATGGCTTCTCTGTCACAGAAAGCTCATTCTCAAGGGTGGTGGTTGGTGGCTTGTGCTTTGGAGGTGGCTTTTTGTGTGGAGGCTTATAATATCCCGATGGGTTGGCATTTTCTTGTGAGTTCTCTTGCTCCTCTAGGGATAACTCCTCTGTAGGAGGCTTATGTGGAGGCTTTCCATGTGGAGGCTTGTAGTGATTAGCAAATGAGATTGAAGCGAAAACTAATGCAAGTAGCAACACTAGTGTGTATTTGGGAGACATCTTTGGTTATTGGATTGTGCAAAAACCAGAGCTAAGGGTTGCTCTTTTATAGCCGCCAGATCCTATGTCGTCATGACATTCGTCGTCTCTTGTGTCCCATATATTTAGTTTATAAGTAAATATCATTTTTAGTCCCTAATAAAAAATAACGTCGACCTCACTTTAGTCTCTTACAAAAAAAATTAGTCTTGAGGTTCCTAACAAATTCAAAATTGACCCATTTATTTGAAATCGTGGTCCTTATAAATTCAAAAAAAGATCCACATTAATCCCTCAAAAGGACTAAAATGGATCCACTTTGAATATCATAGGGACCAACCGATTAAGTTTTTTTTTTTGTAACGGATTAAAGTGGGAACCGTATTTTTTTAGGGACCCAAAAGGTATTTACTCTTAGTTTATTATTGAAGCATTTCATGCTGATTTTTTTTTTTTTTTAGTATAGTCATGTTGAAAATTTAAACCGAGTGAAAGGGTACACTTTGATTCCGAGTAAGTTAAGTGAGGATGTATAAATGGAAAGATTTATAAATTTATTATCTTAAAAGTCTAGGTTAACATATAATGTTAAAGTAAACTCATGATTATACTTTATTAGTTACCCAATTAATAAAATTATCCCTTCCCAAGAGCATGAGCAGAAATTGTGGACTTTTTAGGCTAAAGTAGCACTTTGGTTTGGTAAATGGAACTGGAATTAGTTAAACTTTATTGATACTGACATTAAAAAAAATAACTATACACTTTATTTTCTTTATTTCTCCTCCATTTTCTTCTCTTATCAATGAATGGTCTTCCTTTAGTTTGATACTAAAGTTTGGGTTAGGTTATATTTTTACAAAAATTTTATTTACAAACTTCAATTATGTACTCCGGTGAGTATAACTTTAAATATTTGTACTCTTCAAAGTATATAGTTGAGTTTATAAACAAAAAAATTGTAGATATAACTCTTCCCATAAATTTTATATCCGCTTACTTTTGCTTTGATTAATATATAATATATTGTACAAAATTACATTAGTTATGATTTGATGAAAGGAAAAAGTGTTCTTTTAAATGATACAACTTGTGTCATTTCACTCTCACAAAGAGGTGTGACCCACACCTTTATATTATTTTGTCCACTCTCTTTCCTCCTTTGTTTATCTCTTTCTCTCACTTAAAATGACACAATTTTACCTCTTTTAAAATGATACACACTTTTCCCTCGATGAAATTGCTGTTACGAAAGTAAGGCAAAAGCCGGTACTAACAAATATAACTAAAATAAATTGGACAATGTGACTGCTATTTTAATATCAATCTTTAATATTAGTATGGATAGTTTACTCGTATTTATAGTGTTGAGATGTATTTCCACCCAAAAAAAAGAGAGTGTTGAGATGTATTAGTAAATAAAGATACTAACTAATTAGGCCCAAATATCTTTGTCGTAAATAATAATTTAACCCCAATATATTTCTTACTTTAAATTAAGGGAAAGATAACTAGCACAAGAATTATTCAATTGCAATACTCAAAAATAAATAAATAGAAAATATGCAATATTTAATTTCATGGAGCTACGTTAGTTCAGCGAAGCTGTATTATAGAAGAGTGCAGATAATAGATGCTTTTCAAAAATATCATAGAAACACAAGTAAAATAATTTTAAGATAAAGTTATTAAATTTAGAAGATAAACCCTGTTTGAAATCACGGATCTACGTTCGGTAGCTTTCAGTACTGTACAGAACTTTTTGCTTTGGTTACATGATCGTGTTGGCTGGATGAATCTGGCCACCTTTCTGTATTAAGACCTTCAATTTCCAATACCCTATTATTATAATCATAGTTATAACTGTATAAAATCATGGGAAATTACATCGTTTTACTTGTTCATAGTTCTGTTGAAACTCATAATAGCATTTTTTCTAAATGCTTGTTAAATAAATTATGGGATCTATTAATCTCATGTTGCATGAGATAATTATCTGATACAACAGAGATAAGATAGTGGAGTCTACCATTTGTAAAAAAAATGTAAATCCCACTACTTTGTCTTTGTTGTATGAGATAATTATCTCATGCAACATGAAATAATTATTTCCCATAAATTATACAATGCAAATGGGCCTTAGCCCCTGATGATATAAAAAAAAAATAATTATACAATGCAAATATAATCAAGCATTATTCATACGAATTCTATCATTTTTGCTTTTTAGTTTTACTTTCTATATAATTATTTGTCACACACTTTGATCAAATGCCCTTTTTTAGAGAATCCATGATCTTTGGTATTACTTTTAAAATCTTGACGACAAAATAAGGTATTAATTACCACAATAACCAAAGCCGGTGAAATAAAAAAAAAAGATTTTACATGCATCTATCTCTTTAGTTAGATGTTATGTTTTAAATGTTTTTTCTATAATTGATAAACTTCACATAACAAATCAAATATATATTACTTTTTTAAAAACCATGACGACATCAAAAAAATTATAGATCATCTGAAATTTTTACGCATTAGTAAATCATGTAAAAAATAAGCATATGAATTTTTAATAAATCATTATAAAAAAATATCAAATTATATCATCATCAAATTCTATATTAGTTTAAAATAATTCGTTAATGCTTTACCAAAAAAAAAAAAAAAATTCGTTAATTCCTTTGAACGTCTTTACTGCAATTTATAGATTTTCTTAGCCTTGATAATTAATGAGTTCAAGGCATAAGAGAGATGTTCTTGCAGGTCTTTACAAATGTCATAAAGATGTTTACTAGGCAAAGCATCAAGAGCTCTATATGTCATAAAAATACTCACAAGGCAAAGTATAAAAATTACTATTCGAGGTTCATATATGTGTGTGTGTCAAGGATATATATTAATTTTTATTCATGTTTAAGTGTTAGATTATTTTAAAATTTAATATTGGTTCCATATAAAATTACCATAAAAATTTATCAAGTCTTATTTTACAAATACAATAATTCATAATACAAATAATGAATTTACACAAAATAAGTTATAAAAAAACAATAAATTATTATGAGATTAATTTTCTCTCCTGCACATATAAAAGTGTGTGGGACCCATGTGAGACTATCTGAATAGAAGAGAGAAAGAAAGCATAGGTCACACACTCTTTTATGTGTATGTGAAAGATAAAATGTATCTCCTACACACAGAAAAAGTACGTGAAACCCATATTTTCTCTTTTTTTTCTCTTCTTTTCATAGTGTAGGATATGATTTTTTTCTCCTACTATACTAGAAACATCAAACCCTATAACTACATACTAACCCAAAATAAAATAGTTTCTATGCAGTGTAAATCGAACAAAATAATTTCGAAATAAGTTCAATACTATTCCAAATAAATGAAACAATTAAATCATATAAAAAATTATTTTATATTTCTAATTTTCATTTATTACAATAATGAAATAAAAAAGTTTGTTATATTTCTTTTCTTTTTTTGGTAAATATTTTGTTATATTTATAGTTCATTAATAAAAAAGGTTTAATGTTTCTTCTTTTTCTGCAGAAAAATTTCTCTCACATTCACATAAAATTGAGTGAGTCTCGTTGTAAAGAGAAGAGAGTAAAATATTTATAGGACCCATTCATTTTTTTAGAAGTGTGATAGAAAAAAAATTTCTGCAATCGAAAGTTGAAATTTTTTCTTCCTAATAAACATATATTAAAAAAGAATAAACTCTACTTAATCTTTTTGAAATGAAAGTCAGAGAATGCTGTAGGGAGAAAGAAAGGTAAACAAAACAAGAGACATGTGGGTCAATAATAGAATTTTCACTCAACCAACGAAGAGCTGTCCAGAAATGAACAAGACAGCTATACAAAATTACAAAATATAAATAGTAACATCATGAATCATGAATCATGATTCAAATCTAAACATAAATACAAATAATAACATCATCCTATAATTCAAATTCAAATATGCAAATATTATCCTATCCTAACAGTGAATTATGTAAACAGACTAAATAGATAAACATTATTAAAGCAACCCAAGCATCTATCCTTTTTCCTTTGGTGGACCATTTGTTGAGACCTTTTAAACATGTGCAAGGACTTTTTATCCTCACCCCTTACTAATCCACTATCTATTATCTAGTGACTAGTAACCTCAATGAAAATGACAAAACACATAAAACCAGAACCAGTACGAGACAGAAAAAGATAAGTTTCAGTCGTTTGTGTAGTTTCTTTTTTTTTTTCAAAAAATTAATTAATTATGCATTACTCTTTTAAAATAATTTTTAAAAATCAAAATCATTTTACGTTTGAATGAACTATAAAAAGTAATTTTTAGTAAAATAATTATTTGATTGTTAAAATTAATAAATATTTTTTATATATAAAATTGCTAAAAAGGAAATATGATGATAGAGGTGGTCATGAGATGAGACTCATTGGATGGTATTGAAGCAAAATTAAATTTAGAGAAATTTTTTACTTTTTTTCAGAAACAAGAACTCTCGTCTTAAGAAAAAAAAAATACTATTTTTATTAATTTAATCCCACGAAATTGTTTGTAAGAACTATATTAACCTTTTTTTGTAATATTATTTAATTGATTAACCTAAAATATAAATATGATTTAATTTATTTTAATTTAAACAGGTTTAAATTATATTAAATTTTCAGTTTTTAGTTATAGTATTTTATAAGATTTTAATTTTTTACAAAATACATAAAACGGAAGTTTGAATTAATTCATAAAACACATTAAATAAATGTTTTAATAAATTTATGAAAATGTATAGGACTATAAATTTTAAGTATAATTCTAAATTAACTGTTAGTCTAATATTTTATTAAGAAATTTCTTAAAGCAGAATAAATAAAATGAAAATTTTTTATTACCAAAAAAAAATGAAAATTTTTAAAGTAAAATATTATTTAGAAAATAATGTTATATTAGATCGGTTTTTATATTTAGGTTATAAATTAACTGTTAGCTTCAATTATTAGCTCTTTTTT